TCAATACCCCTAAACTGGAGATCCGGTTGCTTAAGCCAATGTGCTGGACCCAGAAGCCTCGCCAGGCTTACCCCAGTCGGGAGTGCTGACCTTTCAAGACCGTGAAATCTTTCAGGGTCAGAGTTCAAAGAAGCCGACCGTAATCCCTGCCTAAAGCGAGCACTCTCTGCCTCAAAAGTTCTAAACTTACACGCATCCCGCCCTAAGACCCTGCGCAGAGAATCCCCAGAAACGTTCAAGGTACAAAGAAGTTATTCGGTCCAAGAGCTGGATCCCTCAAACCTTAAACTTACCTTTTTTGGCGGGACATGCTTGGCTACAGGACGTATCAACTACAATGAGTTCGCACTGATGATGATGTGATGTGCCCCTTGGAGTAAGGCCAGGTTGGAGCTGTCAAGGGGTCATATGTGTATCTGTGCCGTGCATCGTAAAATGGCACTGGGGCGTGCAGTGCCGTGACGATTCGTCATTGGAATTGGCGGCCTGGGCGTGTTCGATCGCGTGAAATGGCGCTGTGTGCGTATGGGATGCCATAATGATTCGTGTGCAGCATTGACAGCTCTCTCGGTGTTGCTGGGCGGTTCGTGTCCTCCGGCAATCGCGATCCATCCGCCAAATGACAACTCTGTTGGTTGATTGGGGGGGGTGCTGTCACTGCGTATGCAGTGCCGCATTGATTTTAGCTTCGAAATCTTTGAATCAACACTTTGGTCATGTCTTTGATTCCCGCCCGTGCTGGGGGGGAAAGCATTTTGGCCGTGCGTGAATCCCGAAAGTGTATGTGGGAATTGTTGCCGCCTGCACACCGGGAAGCAGAAAAGGTCGTGGCTTTGTCGAAGGAGGAAAAGAGAGTTTATCGAAGGGTTTCCAGAGTTCGCAGATGGGTTGATAGGAGGATGTGTGAGAGGGTTTGTAGAGGGGTGTCGCCTCATATGGTTGAAGAACCACGGGATTCAAGGGCTTTATCGAGGGGTTTGGGGGGGCCCCAGCCGACGTGCAACGATTTGAGGCCCGCATGCGCGTTCCGTCATTGTGGAATAGCCGCTAAATGTAGCTAGCCATCTGTCAGCCTACCGTTGTTGGGAGTAGACTTATGCAACAACAGCGGCATCACCAGCATCATCGTGATTGTGACTGTGTTTTTCTGGTTCAATTTCCCTGGCTGCCTTGCGATTTGTCGTCGAATCAGGTCTCCTCGCAGGCCATGAAACCTTGACAACTGCTTCTGCTGTGCTGAGCCCCAGGATTAGACCGCAATCCCTAAACCCTAAAGTCGAAACCCCCATATACCCCTAAAGCAGAATCCGGACAGGTAGGAGCCTCGACCTGCCGAGCGGGAGTGTTTTGAATCGTGGAGTCCAAGGCAGTCCCCTAGGTGTGTCCTTGCCTTTGCACCTTTCAAGCCCTAGAATATCTTTCATCTCTTTTTTTGGGGCTTGGGGTTTGTGCCTGGGGTGTAGGGTTTGGAGATGTAGGCTTTGGGTTTTGGGGCTTGAGGTTGAGGCACACGCTGCGATGCTGTGGCTTCAAGGAGGTAGTTGCGCAAAGGTTTTTGAGACGATGTAGGGCTTGCAGTGTCGGGATTTGGGCAGGGTTCGAGCATTTGAGCTGAAGGGTAAGGTGTAAGGCTCAGGGCTTGAGGGGTAGCGGCGTAGAGTGTGGAACTGCCAGAGCTAGGTCAGAGCTACCCCCAAACTTTGCATGCTACACTCAGCTTGTAAGGTGGTGTGCATTTCCTGCCCAACGGGGATCGCCCTGCTCCAGTGCTCATGAAACTTCCTGCGAGAAAGACTCAGGAAGGTCTTGAGTTCCTTAGCAACGGTACTGAGAGGGCATAGCTCAGCCTGCCGTACAGCTAACTCCAAGATTCCAATGCAACACGAGAGGACTTTAGCATAAGCTAGCTCGGGCACTTGAAAATTCGGTCTTCAGCGGCTCAGAAGTGCACCTTTCCACGAACCCTGAACAGAACCCAAGCCACTTAATAAGTAAGTCATGCCATCCTCATGCGGGACAGGTCCAGGATTTCGATGCTAAGCTCCCCAATGCCAATCATATGTATGACAATGGTCGTGTGCAGCCCAAAACCTGTCTTGGCTGGTTCGGCAAGGCCTAAATCTGTTACTGCCCGAGA